GTTCTGCCAACCCCGGTGTCGAATCTCGGTAGCGCACCGAGCGAGGCGCCATCGCCAGACTATGACCACCTCCAGCATGTCGCACCCAGGGCATTCCAGAGGCGGCACCGTCGCCAAGTATGCTGCTGCGGCGCAGCACATGTATACAGACACATGCAGATGTATGCATGTATGTATGTATGTATGTATGTATGGATGTATGGGTGTATGGGTGTATGGATGTATGGATGTATGGATGTATGTATGTATGTACGTATGTATGGATGTATGGATGTATGGATGTATGGATGTATGGGTGTATGGGTGTATGGATGTATGGATGTATGGATGTATGGATGTATGGATGTATGGATGTATGGATGTATGTATGTATGTATGTATGTATGTATGTATGTATGTATGTAGGTAGGTAGGTAGGTAGGTAGGTAGGTAGATGTATGTATGTATGTATGTATGTATGTATGTATGTATGTATGTATGTATGTATGTATGTATGTATGTATGTATGTATGTATGTATGTATGTATGTATGTGTGTATATATGTATGTATGCACATACAGTTATAGACTAGAACCATAGCGCGCGCGCTTCGCGCGCTCTCGGGTTCTAGCAGGCCCCCGGCCATGACGAAGTCACTGCTCCACTGAAGTAGCGGACCACAGTCCACGCATACACTTTAGGCGATGCTTAAGAAAACTTAAGTTTTCGGCCAGAGTCTAGATTATTCTTATTGTTTCAATGGAAATCCCAACTTTTTAGTAGAAGTTGGGGGTTTTTATTCAAATTCTGAGACTATGAATGTCTCAACCCATGATTTCTTAAGCATTTCGCAGGGTGTACCAATCTGCATTCCGAGAGGCCTTCGAGGAGAATTGTTGTGTAGGGGGCGGAGGCCGTATGAATCGGGTTCCCAGAAGGCCCTCTGGGAGCATGGGTTTGGGGCGTCTTGGGGAGCCTGTGGGGCGTGCCGTCGTCGTCGTCGTCGTCGTCGTCGTCGTCGTCGTCGTCGTCGTCGTCGTCGTCGTCTTCGTCGTCGTCGTACACCTATATAAATATTCCTCTTCCTATACGTTTATAAGCCCCGGGGGGGGGGGGGGAAAAAAAACCCATACCCCGGGGGTCCAATGATTATGTGGCTGGGCTTGGGACCCCTTTCGAGCGGGCTCGAACGCTTTTGGTATTTAGCTTTGGGCCACCGGGCCTCACATGGCGTTTTGCCAAGCCTTCCCAGCACACTAGGGCGATCAGGGGGGTCATCGGAGACGTCCCAGAGACCCCCAAGACAGCACAAGAGCGCTCCAAGAGTGACCGACGTGACCTCAAGATGGCCCAAGAGGCCTCCAGGACGGCCCCAAATAGGCCTCCAAAAGCACTCCCAAGAAGGCCCCCCGAGGCAAAAATCATACATGTTCTGTGGGTTTGGGTTAATTTTAGGGTTCTCCTCGTTTCGGCTTCCCGACGCTCCAAGACGGCGGTCTTCTGGGCGTCCGAAGCCGCCTGGGAGGCTCCAAGATCGCCCCACAACCATCCGAAAGGGCTTCCAGGCAGTCCAAGAGAGCCCCAAAACGGCACAACACGGGTCCAAGATGGCCCTCAGAGAGCCCCATGGCGGCCCAAGATGACCCAAAGACACCTTCCGAAGAATTCCAAATCGTGATTCGGTCGTTCAGGGAGACCGCGGTTAGAGGCAGGGTGGCCCGAGGAAGCCCCCAGAGGCCCTCAGAATACGCCCAGGAGGTCTCCAGAAGGCTTTAAGAAAGCCTGAAACAACTTTTGTGAGGCCCCCAGAGGCTCTCCAAGGAGGAGCCTCCGCAAAAAAGAGCTGAGGAGGATGGGGAGAATGCGCAGGGCATGGCGAAAATAAGGAAAAAGAAGCATGGAGGAAGGATATCGAATAACATTATTATAGCGGCGATGCCAGAAAAGGCAACCAGGAGTTATCTCTAAGTTGTCGCCTTGACCTTCCTGCTATTCCGCCTGCATACCAAACTTCAAGGACCAAGGTGCATGGCGCGAAGCGCCACTGCAGTCTTGTGTGTGTATATATATATATATATATATATATACACCCGGGGTCCAGGCCAGGGGGCCCTAAGGGCAACCTCAACCTCCAGATCGCCATGCCGGTGGCAGGGATTTTCTGGCCTTCGAATACGGGCCAGGAAGCCCCCAACAACTTCCACGATTGTCCAGCAAGGATCCGACATGGATTTGAATGATCGACAACCGCCTCAAGACGCACAAGATGACCCCAAGACGCGCCAATAGACCGCCCACGACGCCTCCAAAAGCCCCCAGATAGCGGCCCGATAGTCCAAGCTCAGTGTTTTATTGTGCTTTCTATGGTTTTGTGCGTTTTGGCGTTGTCGGGCGTCCGACAAACTAAAACGCACCAAGAGGTCCCCAAGACCAGGAGGCCACCGAGAGAGCCCCAAGACGACCTAAAAGGGCTCTACCACTGCCCAATAGGGCCTCAATCTAGCCCACAAGAGCCCCAAGATGGCCCCAAGAGACGCCCAAGAGGGGCACGCGAGCCGACCATTCGAGCTTTCCGCCCCAAGAGGCCCCCTAGAGGTCGCAAGAGGCCCCCAGGGGGCCCCCGCAGGCTCCCCGAACACCCCTGAAGGGCTTCAAAACGGCGTCCCAAGGCCTCGGTTCAGCCTTGGCGAACAAGTTTCGGGCCCCAAACCGTCACCAGGAGGAGGGGGTGGTGGAAAGAAGGATATTGAAACAGGACCGAAAGGGAGCGGCCGCGTACTGTGTCTGCGCACGCCCACATAAGGACGAAACTGAGAGGGAGGCGGAGACACCAAAGGCAGGGGTGAGGCAGGAACAACGGAACACAAGGGAGAGGGACTATGAGGGACAATGAGGCCATAATGTGGACGAAGGCTCAGAAAACAATAGAGCGCAGGAGAGGGCAACGAGAAGCAAGTTGGGAGACGATGGCCACGACATGTTGAGTGAAGTAAGCCGACCAGTAGCAAAGTAGCATCATACATGATCAAGTTTGGATTTCCCAGCGCTTGGGGCTACCTAGAAACATATAGGCGTGGAGCGCACGCAACTGTTTCTAGTGTGCGTGTATATACATAAACAACTCGACAGCAGTAATTAGCTCGAACAGCATCCAAAACGCCCGAGAGCCTCGATCTTCGAGAAGGAGGAGGAGGAGGAGGAGGAGGAGGAGGAGGAGGAAGAGGAGGAGGGAGGAGGGGGAGGAGGAGGAGGGGGGGGGGAGGGCGGGAGGGAGGGAGGAGGGAGGGAGGGGGAGGGAGGGAGGGGGAGGGAGGGAGGGAGGGAGGGGAGGAGGAGGAGGAGGAGGAGGAGGAGGAGGAGGAGGAGGAGGAGGAGGAGGAGGAGGAGGAGGAAGGAGGAAGGAGGAAGGAGGAGGAGAGGACGGAGGGAGGGAAGGAGGGAGGGAGGAGGGAGGGAGGCAGGGAGGGAGGGGGAGGGAGGGAGGGAGGGAGGAGGAGGCGGAGGAGGAGGAGGAGGAGGAGGAGGAGAAGGAGGGGATGAGGAGGAGAGGAGGATGAGGAGGAGGAGGAGGAGGAGGAGGAGAAGGAGGGGGAAGGGGGAGCAGGAGAAGGATGAGGAGGCTTTCGCTTCCGCTTCACTGCCACGGCTCCTCCGTTGGGACGACATCATGCCTGCCCTCTCTTACTCAGGATTTGGAACACAACGCGCCCCCCCCCCCCTTTGGCACCCTGGACCGGGACCCATGAAGAGGAGGAAATAATGAGGACGAGGAGGAGGAGGAAGGAGGAGGAAGAATACTGACGACGCAAAGGAGGAGAAGGAGAAGGAGAAGGAGGAGAAGGAGAAGGAAGAGGAGGAAGAGGGGGACGAGGAGGGGGGAGTGGAACAGTGTGCAGAAATGAAACATGCGCGTGACGATTATGTTGACGATTATGCCGCTGATGATGATGATGCTGATGATGATGAGGATGATGAGGATGATGATGATGATGATGATGATGATGATGATGATGATGATGATGATGATGATGATGATGATGATGATGATGCTGATGATGATGATGCTGATGCTGATGCTGATGTTGTTGAGCATGATGATGACGGTGGTGATGATGGAGATGATGATGTTGATGATGAGGAGGAGGATTATGAAGATGATGATGATTATGATGGTGGTTATGATGGCTGCGATGATGCTGGTGATGACGACGACGATGATGCTGCTGATGATACTGATGATGATAATGCGTCTGCTGATGATGCTGATGCTGATGATGTTGGTGGTGATATGATGATGCTGGTGATGCTCATGCTGGTGCTGCTGATGATGATGTTGATGTTGTTGTTGACGGTGATGATCATGGTGATGACTATGACTATCCTAGTGATGTTGATGTTGTTGATGCTGATGCTGATGCTGATGGTGATGGTGATGCTGCTGCTGATGATGATGATGATGATGATGATGATGATGACGATGATGACGAGGAGGAGGAGGAGGAGGAGGAGGAGGAGGAGGAGGCGGGGGAGGGGAGGAAAGGAGGAGGATGAGGAGGATGTGGAGGAGGACAGGGAGGAGGAGGAGGAGGAGGAGGAGGAGGAGGAGGACGAGGACGAGGACGAGGAGAGGACGAGGATCATGCATAGCGAAAAGAGGGTCGAAAAGGAAGGAACCAGCGGGAGGAGTGAAGAGGCAAAAGGAGGAGGAGGAGGAGGAGGAGGAGGAGGAGGAGAGGAAGAGAGAGGAGGAGGAGAAGCAGGATGAGGACGGTGGAGGAGGAGGGACGAGCGAAGTGGAGCGAAGAGGAGGTCGAGAAGCAGCAGCAGGAGCAATCGGCGGAGCAGCAGGAGGAGGAGGAGGAGGAGGAGGAGGAGGAGGAGGAGCAGCAGGATGAGCAAGAGAGGGAGGCTGGAGGAAGCGGACGGGCAGGAGGAGGGCAGCATGGAGGAGGGGCGGGAGGCAGGCGGCGAGAGGGAGGCAGAGGCGAGGAGGGGAGGGGCGAGCGACGGCGACGGGGAGCCGCGGCAGGCCGCCGCCGCCGACCTCGAGGAGGGCAGCGGCGACTGCGCGGCCGCCAGGGGTGGCAGCACGGCGGTTGCCGAGATGGCCTCCGAGGAGGACCGTCCTCCTCCTCCTCCTCCTCCTCCTCCTCCTCCTCCTCCTCCTCCTCCTCCTCCTCCTCCTCCGGGATGCGGCCCCCGAGCGAGGCGTTGCAGACAGGGCCTTGCCTTCGAGGATCGGAGGCGCTGTCCTCTTCTCCTCGGCGGAGGGCGTCCCAGACTGTCTGCGGAAGCCTGCGGGAGTAAGACGAGGCCGGCGGACGCTGGCGGAGGCCGGCGGGAGGCGGGCGGAAGGCGGCGGAAGCAAAGGCCGACCTCCCGAGAGATGGCAACGTCTTCGAGTTCAGGGTTTCCGGAGACCGGCAAGTACTGGGCCGCCCGCCGGGAGGAGCAGGGTGCTCCGGGTGGCGCACCGACGGCCCACCCGGGAGGTCCCAGGTGGCCGCAGCGGGCCCCTGCCGAGCAGCCCAGGGTGGTCTCAACACCATGGGCGCCGCCTCCAGCGGCGCCCCGGGTGTGCCCCGCGCCCCAGGCTCGGAGACGTTGAGATTGCCCCAGGCCCTCCTCCTCCTCCTCCTCCTCCTCCTCCTCCTCCTCCTCCTCCGCCTCCGCCTCCTCCTCCTCCTCCTCCTGCACGGGGGGCCGGTCGAGGCCAGCTGCGGACTGCTCGGAGGACTTGTAGAGGCCAGCCAGGGTCACCTGGGGTTGCCCCCGACGGCCAACCCGAAGCCTTTCCCGGAGGGGGGGGAGGGAGGCACCCGACGAGGTGCATCACAGCTGAAGCCGCAGCCACGGCTGAGGTCCACGGAAATGGAGATGGCCCACCCTGGAGGCTCGATTAAGAGCACATCGTTGACTGGTGCTGCGGCCCCGGAGAGAAGAAGATGAGAGTAGGCTAGTCGTCACTTGCAGCCCGCGATGGCCCGTCTCGGGCCATGGGGCCGTCTGAGATCGAGCCGATGAACACACGGATTGAGTATTCCACGCGGAGATTCTCATGTGTGCGTCTCGTTTTCGTGTCACGTCTCGCTGAAGAATTCAGTCTCTGAGCGTCTGGGTGTGAGAGCGAATCCGCACAGACGACGGGCGCGACAACGACGACGACGACGACGGCGCCGACGACGACGACGACCACGACCACGACGACGATTTCAGCGACGACGTCAGTGACGTCCTCCTCCTTCAGAGCACACAAGTCCAAACGGAGAAGCCTGGGAGGAGCCGAGACAGGCAAACTGCCTGAGACATCCCCACCATCTGGATGCGGCTGTTGGAGTTCCCTGGCGGCTCCCCGTTTGCCCGATTGACACGCCTTCTATGTCGTGGTGAGAACTGGACCACTAGAAGAGAGAAGCCTGGGCGGCCGAAACAAACCGCCTGAGACATCCCCACAATCTGCATGCGACGTTTGGAGTGTCCCCACCCCTAGCGGGCCCCCCTTGGGTGCCCAAATGTTGCGCCTGCCATATCGCGGCGAGAAGCGGACCATCCAAAGGGAGAAGCTTGGGGGTGCGAAACAGGCAAACCGCCTGAGACGTCCCCACAATCTGGACGCGGCTGTTGGAGCGTCCCCACCCCTGGCGGCTCCCCCATTGTGGTGCCCAAGTGCCACGCCTGCGATGTCGTGGTGAGCACTGGACCACCAGAAGAGAGAAGCCTGGGCGGCCGAAGTGTCCCCACCCATGGCAGCCCTTCCTTGGGGTGCACGAGTGCCACGCCTGCTTCATGGCAGTGACCACTTGTGCGTGCGCATGAGTGTGACTTAACTTGAGTTTGAGTGATCCGTGTCTGAGCGAATCTGAGTGTGAGTGAGTCCGGGTATGTTTGAATATGAGCGTGAGTGAGTCTGAGGTCTGAGTATGAGTGAGGCTCGGTACGAGCCAGTCTGAGTATGAGAGAGTCTGGGTGTGAGTGCGTCTGAGTGCGAGGGAGTCTGAGTGGGCTTGGGTCTGGGTGTAAGTAAGTCTGAATATGAGCAGGACGAACATCAGTCTGATGACTGGTGATCTTGAGTACGAGGGGGCCTGATCACTAGTGAGCCTGAGGGTGATTCAGTCTGAATGTCAGGGAGTTTGAGTGTGAGTTAGTCAGGATGTGTGAGTTAGTCAGGATGTGAGTGGGTCTGAGTCGGAGTGAGTGTCAATCCGAGTGGGTCTGAGTCTGAGTGAGTTTGAGCATGAACGAGTCTGAGTGCGAGAGTAGTGAGTCTCACTCCAGCAACTCTCCCCTGCATAGCTGTCGGTGGGTGGCAAATGTCCCTCACGACGTAAGGTCCTAAGCCTTCGCTGATACAGATGGCGACTCCACAACTGTTGTTGGTCCACTTCCCTTTCTTGATTATGAACTGGATGACGTCGTGGTGAGACCAGATGTTGCTTTGCGAGGCTTCTGTATCCGCCCATCTACACGTTCCGCTGAGCAATATTACGTCCCAACTCCGTAGTTCGCAACTGATGTCCTCTAGTCGTTCCAGGCTGGCCGCTTCCGTTTGGGGGTTGTAATAGCAAAAACGCATAGTGATGCAAAGAAGGGCGAGAGTCATGGACGCCCCCCAGGCCCCAGAGTTCCGCGGGCCTACAGGTGGGGGGCGAAGTCGCTGGTGTACTTCTGTTCGTGCGGAGAAGGAGGAGGTGGAGGAGGAGGACGACGATGACGACGACGAGGATCGGGAGGGCGAGGAAGCCAGCACCCCCGAAGGAGCCCGGGCGGCTGCCCCCGGGGGCCACGAGGCCGCAGGGCGGGAGGCAATGCGGCGTGGCCTCACTGGGGGGGGGTCAAGAAGAGGGTCCGAGGCGGGAATAATTTTATGCATGACCACCGCCTGGAGGGTTAGTTTTCGGAGCCTCGGCAGGCGGTGGATGTGGACATATTCAAGCCCCCGGGGGCCGAAATATATCCATATCCACCGCCCGCTGGGGCACCAAAACGTCTGTTCCCAGGCGGTGGATATGGATAAATCCCCGCCTCGCACCGGGGCCCCTTTCGTTCGGATGCAACTCCTGGGAGGTTGGATTTTGTCCTGGTCCGCAATCCAGCATCATCTGGCGTCATGACATTGCCACAATCCCGCCGGATACGGCCCCAGTTTGCTGAATCCGCGGGCTCATCCAGCGTAGCAGCCCCCCAATGGGGCTGAATCCTCCTTGTTCCTTTCGGCGAAGACGTCCCAGCACTTGCCTCCTAGTCTCAGTGGAAGCAAGCAGAGGCCCTGAAGGGCTCCTTCTACGGCCCCCTTCTTCGCCCCCCGTTCTTGGTCACCCCTCGTGACCACCCGCCCGAGAGGCCCTTCCCCGCGCACTGGGGCGAGCCACCCCGAGCGCTCACCCGGGAGCGCCGGGACTGGCCCGCCGGCTTCGGCCACGGCAGCGGCACGATCGCGAAGTGGATCGAGGGCAACCTGGCAAGGGACGGGCAGGAGCAGACGGGCAAGGGTCGAAGAGCAGCAATCCTCGCAGGCCTCGGGGTTGACACCAACACCAGTATCGGCGGTGTGCCTCCAGCGAGGGAAGAAGATCCCGATCTCGGTGATGGTGGTAACGTTCTGGCCTTCAAGGTGACCGAGATATTACCACCAACACCGGAATCTGGGATCACCTTCCCCCTGTGGAGGCAGCCCCCTGTGTTGGTGTCGGTGCCCATTCCCAGGCCTCCAAAATCCAGCGTGAGCCTACAACGGCAGCGAGCCTACTTATACTATATGTGCGTCGCCCCCCCAGGGGCGATGCGCGCACCGAAAAATCTTGAACATGTGCGCCGTGGCGGGCGCTTTCTGGCCGCACCGCTCGGGAAACGACATACTGCAAGTTGGGTCTACTCTATGTTCGGGTCGGACGCGCGCCTCCAGGGAGGACATCTAGTATCGCAGGCGATGTTTCTCCCCCAATCCCCGAGTTACGCCCGAAAAGTTTGGCCGTTCAGAAAAGGGGGGACACCCTGGAATACACCGCAAGGGGTCTATTCGGACGAACCCCTATCAAGGATGGACGCCCTCCCTCCTGTATCCCAGGCTCGGGCCCCAGATTGTTGGTCCAGTCGAAAACTTCCTTAAGCCTCGGATAGGTGTCGACATATCTCCTGTTGCAGTATCGGTATCTCTCTGTGCGTCCCATCGGCGGCGAGCGAGGGGGGGAGGAGGAGGACGAGGAGGAGGAGGAGGAGGAGGAGGAGGCGGAGGAGGAGGAGGAGGAGGAGGAGGAAGAGGAGGAGGAGGAGGAGGAGGAGGAGGAGGAGGAGGAGGAGGACGAGGAGGAGGAGGAGGAGGAGGAGGCGGAGGAGGAGGCGGAGGGCGGGGGGGAACGAGAAGGAGCGGGCCTCCTCGGAAGGCGGCGGGGCCTCTCCTGCTTCTTCTGTCGTTCTCTCTGGGCGGGCCCAGGCCCAGTCTACTTACCGGATCCGCCGTCCCACAGCACTCAGGAGGGGCAAAATTGCACAGCCACAATGAATCGTCGATTCTCCCAGAAAAAATAAGGGGAAACGTGAGAAGTGGGAGAAAATCAAAACCCCAGAATACATAGGGGAAAACATGGGGAATATGGAAATCTGCTGGATCCGCCTTCCGTCAGCATGCTTCCACCTACTTGTAAGTCGGGCCTGTCCCTCTACAGGAGGAATATTCAAACATATTTCCAAAAATAGTCAGGGGAGGATTTTTCTACCATGGACGGAACATTTTGGGGTGCATTTTTGGAGAAATCTTATTTTTCCATTCCAAGATCCCCCTGTAGGGGTGGGCATGCCCGACCTAAAACCCACTTCTTCCGACTGTCGGCGGAGACGCCGAACAAAAAGAGGACCACCTCGGGCTCTGGAGGGGGCTTGGTCTGAGGACAGCACAACCCACCCCCACCCCCACCCAGGGCACCCACCTCCGACCTGGTGATCCAGGGTGCCCTGGGTGGGGGGTGGGGGTGTGTTTTTGGGCCCCGCGGCTCTTACAACCCACCCCCACCCCCCACCCAGGCACCCTGGACCACCAGGTCGGAGGTGGGTGCCCTGGGTGGGGGTGGGGGTGGTTGTAAGAGCCGCGGGGCCCAAAAACCCACCCCACCCCCACCCAGGGCACCCTGGACACCAGGTCGGAGGGGGGTGCCCTGGTGGGGGTGGGGGGTGGGTTGTAAGAGCCGCGGGGCCCCAAAAAACCCCCCCCCCACCCCCACCCAGGGCACCCTGGACCACCAGGTCGGAGGTGGGTGCCCTGGGTGGGGGTGGGGGTGGGTTGTGCTGTCCTCATGGTCTTCGGGCCGACCCTCGAGAGTCCTGGTCGCCGAGCCCGCCCGTGGCCACCGGCTCGCCGTGGCCGGGAGACCCCCCCATGGGCCCCCACCTTCTGCGCTCTCCTCCTCCTGGCATAGTGCGACGGCTGTGAGCTTCCGGAGCTCCGCGCAGAGTTTCCTCTCCTCCTCCTCCTCCTTCTCCTCCTCCTCCTCCTGTCCTCCTCCTCCTCTCCTCCTCCTCCTTCTCCTCCTCCTCCTCCTCCTCCTCCTCCTCCTCCTCAGACGTGCGGAGCACGCCAGGGGCGGCGCTGGAGGCGGTGCCAGGGGTGCCCAGGGGTGCCCATATGTGCTCGGGGGCAACGCCGAAGGCTTGGGCGCAGGTCGTTGCCCAGGCAGCGCCCCGCGTCCTCCTTCCTTCCCGCCTTCCTTCCTTCCTTCCTCGTTGCCTTCCCTCTCCTCCTCTTTCTCCTCCTTCTCGTCCTCCTCCTCCTCCTCCTCCTCCTCCTCCTCCTTCTCCTCTCCCCTCGTCATTATCATCATCAGCATCAGCATCATCATCCTTGTCATCACCATCATCATCAGACTCGTCGGCATCATCAGCAGCACTATCCCCATCAGCAGCTGCCTGCCAGCACGGATCCCGCACCACTCTATTCAGAATCTCCCTTGCTGGAGCACAGTGGCATCGGCTCAAAGGCAGTGTTGGCTGCACGCGATGCGGGACAGGTGCTTTTTCCTCACCCTGTATACGGCCGCGGAGCGCGTCAATGTCCATCGGCGCGCCAAACCAGCCGCAGACGAGTGGCACCGCGAGGAGGGTTGGCAGAAGTATGCCACGGGGCTCCCCCGAGGGCGCGAAGTTATTCGCGCTTCGCGCTTCGCGGTCCTCGTTTCTCCTCCCCCTCCTCCTCGTCCTCCTATTCTCCCTTTGGGGGGGCGGCGCGAGAGCGCGAAGTTATTCGCGCTTCGCGCTTCGCGCAGCGCGAAGCGCGAAGTTGGGAGCCCTAGATGCCACGGGGCTGGTGCACGGCCTGGTGCTCGCGGACGCTTGGTTGCACTTAGAGAAGGAGCTCAGACGTTGGCCATTGACATGACTCCCCAGTCACAGGCTGGCACCGACGCTCCCCTAACCTGCAGCTGGTTGGGCGTCGTTGCCAGCCGTGGGGATAGGCCGCAGTCGTTCGTCTTCTACGCAACGGCTGGTGCACGCACTCGCGGTATGGCAGGCCATTGCAGGTTCTGCAACAGCGTGGCAGACAGCATCCGGCATGCCGCTTATCGCCTTACTGTCCGCACGTTACAAGCTCGATTTGTTGACATACCTCCACCACGCCCAGACTTGAAGCTCGACGCTTTCGTGGGGTTGGATGGGCACATGCCCAGCGAGCGCACCGTGGTCGTTTGGGCCGTGCCCGCGTATGCGTTGTACCGGGTTCATCACGGCCGCCGCCACGGTAGATTCGTTGCAAGACGTCGTTGGAGTTTTCGACAGGTACGTTCGGGAGGCCCGCGGGCGATCAATGAGGCAACTGTGCCAGTTACCCCGTTTTCCCTTTTGAGCATGGCCGCAACGGTCGGCCCCGAGTGCTCAATCGGAGTGTTCCTCCTCTTTCTCATCCCTCCCTCTCCTCCTCCTCCTCCTCCTCCTCCTCCTCCTCCTCCTCCTCCTCCTCCTCCTCCTGCGCGCTTGCACGTGACCCGCAAGTTCTGGTGACCCTTGCCGCCCTGGTTCACACAGCCGAGGTCTCCTGCGGGGCAAGCGAACCGCCTTTCCGAATTCATTTTTTCCAAAAGCGTGTTACAGTACCCGGCAGTTCCTTGCCTCCCGTCCCCTGTTGCTGCGCGCTGCTTGCCGCGGATTTCTTCCTTCCTCCGCATTCCGTCCCTCTGTGCTCTCCTCTCTCGCTCACTCTCCTGCCCCTTTCCCTGCTGCTCTCCGTCTTGCCTGCTGCGCTGTTGTGTCCCGTTCCGTTTGTCCGCCCCGCTCTTCTTTGTTGTTTGCCTTCTTCTTTCCGTTTTTGCACCTCGAGCCTTGAATCCTGCGCGTCGCCACATGCTGGGGATAGTCAGAGCGGAGCGCCATGCCCCTCGCGCCTATCGCCCCCCCCCCCCCTGCTCGATGCCGAGGTGAACTCATTGCAGTGATGGGCGCACGACGAAACCTTTAGCTCGAGAGCGTCTGGCAATCTCTTGAGCGCCACCGTGGAAGAAACAGATGGTGACCGATTGTTCAAAATGCGTCCAAACTCCACCTAGCAGATTCGGTTCGGGCGTCCTGTGGTCGAGGGCGGGGTGGCTTCTAGATCTTGATCTTGAGGTCATCGCGTAATGAACCATGCGCTTGGCAAGCCTGCCCCCCTCCCGTCGCAGACCTTGAGTGATGCTACGACCCCTCGCGAAACGATTCCATACTGATCCAGATATGCCCGAGACGGAAACGCAACACAATGTGCTAGCCCCACATGCAAAACAGCTGGCGGGTATTCAGGGCGCAAACTTGTGGGCAAAATCAAAGCCCACTCGACGCCGCCAACGAAAAAAAAATGTCCAGCGTGCCGTGACATGTGGGAAGTTGGAGCCGGCCCACGACCTCGTCGTACAGCGCGCAGTGGATGGCTTCTACTCGGGAGCTGTCGCCACGCACTGCTGCGCCTAATTCAGTTTCCGCAGGATTTGCCCAACCGCGAACGCGTCATTCGCGAATCACTGACCAGTGTCTGCCCATCGTGTACATCAGACCGAGGATGCGATCTGCGTCCGGTTTCTTTGACAATCATTTTCTAATGGCGAGTTGCGTCTGATGGGGCCAAGTGCGAGTGGTTTCGACGTCGTACAATAAGGCCGCCATCTCAGAGTCCTGCGCACGGTGACCGTCCAATGTCCAATGGCGTCAGCCTTTCCGATGCCAGTCCCGTCTCGCCCCTTAAGCTGTGCGCCACCGCTCGCTCTTTCTCGGGCGTGAATGGGTACTAGGGCTCATCGCGAGCAACTTGAGCATCTGGTTGAGAAAGGGTGAGTTAGACGTTCGTGCTGGTCGATGCCTTCGTACTTCGTGAACCTCGGTGGCGTGGCGTGCGACGGTCACTTTGCAGGGTGGTCGGGTCCTTTGCATGGCGACGCGCTGGGCTCGGGGCTCGAGGAACACCCTAAGTCCGCGCTGTGACTACCTGACATACGTGGCGACGTGTAAGACTTTGGGCCCAAAGAGCACCAACCGCCCGCGTTCTGACTACGCGGCGCCTCGGTGTGACTACCCAATACAGCGCGCGACGACAAGTGGAACTCGCGGTTCGGGGAGCGCCTCGAGACCTGCCATAATGGCCATCAAGACTTTTGCGCTGGACCCGGTAAAACGGCCACGTGACAGCGTGCGCCCGCTGCTCCACCAGTGGTTCGGGGGACCCGCAGTGCGTCCGAGGACCCGCGGAGCTTGGGGGCAATTGCCGGACATCCACGACCCCACCACGCAATCAATAGTCACGGTGGGCCACGGGTCCCACGCCAGCTACAGTCATCATTCACTTGCCGGAGAGAAGTTGGGGCAACACGTCGCAAGCGAATTGCGTCACGAAGGACGGCTCGGAATTGCAGTTCCCAGAAGCTGGCCACTCGTACATGCCGGCCCTCCATTCAACCAGGCTTTTCTTCCAGGTCTTCGTCGAAGGTCCGAGGAGTTTTTGGGGGAGGCTGAGATGTGCTGCTGCCGCGGTGGTCTACGCCAGGGTATCGACGTGACCTCGCCGCTGCAGCTTCTCAGGCATCTTGAGCAACTTCCGCGCGGGAGGGGGCGGTCAGAACTGCTTGTTTCTGGTGCCGCAGGTGGCGCTTGGCCAGGTCAAAGAAGAGCTGGCTTCGCCACCGGGGCGGAGGTCGGCGACATATGCCCCAGGTGCAACAAACACAAAGACGGCATATCATCGCACATGGGGGTGCGAGCGTCACCGCGGCCATCCGATCTGCAGCCACTCGGACGAGTGGTTCCCGATGGCCATGGCGGAAGCCGAGGCCGAGCCTGGGTTCCGGCGAAGGGGCCTCATGCCTCGGTTTTGGACCGTGGTGCCCGAACCACCAGATGATGAGGAGCGGTCCCGCACATATTCCAACGACGGGCTGCACGACGGTGCGTTCGCACACGGTGCGACCAGCAGCCAGTCGTCACCGCAGGGGATGCCAGTCGAGGGGCGTTTGCCAGGGATTGGAGGTTTCGGAGGGTAGACATCGGTCTCGATGTGTCCGATAACGGACTTCGGCCAAACCATTCGCAGAAGGATTCTGGGGCTCCACTTAGGTTTATCGAGTCAGCTCCCTGGGACGAAGCCACCCCGGCGACCCCCCCAAAGCAGAGCTGAAGCTCTTGCTTAGGCTCAGGGCTGAAGCTCTTGCTGGGGCTCCTTGTAGCTCACACGCCGGATCGGCGGATTTCAGTCAGTGTGAGCGCAAGACAGAGCACTTGACCGTCTTGATCATCAACTCGTGCCTCGGCGGCAGCGGCACTGCTGCAGGGATGGGGCAGAGTTGGCTCGCCGGGGTGCCTGCTGCTGCTGGCAGCTCGGCGGAGGCAGGTGCTGAGCGTTGCCGCCCGTCCGGAGAGGTTAGAAGCAGGGTGATCAACGTTGAGATGCCGGAGTATCTGATTCCAGGCCTCCTATAGATGGGGTCGGAATAGATGGGGTCGGAGGATCGCGCCGCTTTTCTCCGCGCCGACGTCGGCGACGCATCGGCGTTGAAATGTTGGAGTATCTGATTCCACGCCTCCTATAGATGGGGTCGGAGTAGACGGGGTCGGAGGATCGCGCCGCATCGCCGATGCATTAGCGATGCATCGTCGATGCGGAGCCCGCTTTTCTCCGCGCCGACGTCGGCGACGCATCGGCGACGTCGGCGATGCATCGACGATGCATCGGCGGCGCGATCCTCCGACCCAATCTACTCCGACCCCATCTAGGAGGTCTCTACTGATTCGGCTCAGGATGATCTTCTGGTTTGCCCTGGACGCTTGGGAAGCGGAACGGATCCTGGGGGACGTGGGCCCGTCGAGGGAGAAGAGGGGGAAGGGCGGCGCGAGAGCGAGCGGAGGTGGCGCGAACCCTGCGTACAAAGGAGGGCTTAGATGTGTGTCCTCCTCCCGCGCCTCCCCCCCCAAACCCTGACGCCGTCACCTGTAACGGATTTATGAAATTGTGCCGCCGAGTCAAAACAAGACAAAGCAGCATTCAGTAAACGCCAAAGCCGGTTTACTAAATTCAAGAAGCCGGATTTTCTAAATCCGGGGCCGTTGTTCTAAATCCCAGGTCCTATCATTACCATTACCTCAAGTGGCTCGATCATGAGGGTGCCCTTTACGATGTTTGGCGCCAGTGTTGGCGATGCCGCGGGTCTGCGCCAGCAGCCCGTGTCAGGCCTTGACGCAGGCCACCGTGCGCTTGTCATGTGTCGCTCGACTGCTGCACTCGTGCGCTCCCTCCTGGGCCTTCGTTGTGCACCCCGCCCCCTGCATGAGGTTCCATCAAGACTTGAACGGTTGGTGCTGTGACTCCTGCGGGATTACTGTTCCCAAAGGCTGCCTCTCCTCGGGGGGCCGTGCAGTGACGAAGCCGCCCCGACCCGTCAGAAGCATGTAAGGAGACATGCCTCCGAGGGTTTGACCCAAGGCCTACACAGCAAAAAGGAATCAGCGCGTCAAGCCCAGAAGCGGTGTGGGTAGTTGTTGGTAGGACTTTGTCCTGAGACTTCAACGCCAGCTCCAATTTCTCCTCCTCATCCGCCCTCCTCAACCTGATAATTACTCTTATCCTCCCCCTCCCCAGTCCTTATCGTCCTCTTTCTCGCCCTCCTCCTCCTCCTCTTCCTCTTCCTTCCCCTCTCTGCGCTGACGCAGGAGTGCGCAGGCGCGGCCAAGGGCCCGAATATCCCCAAGCTGGACCTCCCGCTCCCAGACCCGGAGGACGGGGTACCGGCGGAGCTATGCGACGACGAGGCGCCGAGGGCCGCCAGAAGTAGGAAGCCAAGGATTGAAGAAACATCGGGTCGCGATAGATCTTCGAATTTCGCCGCCGCCACCGCCGTCGCCGTCGCCGTCGCTGTCGCCGTCCTCGTCGTCGTCGTCGTCGTTGTCGTCTTGGTCGCGCCGCGCCCGCGTCTTCGTCGCAGACACCGTCGCTGCCGTCGTGGTCTTCGGTTCAGTCGATGTCCTTCCTCTTCCTCTCTGAGGTCCAGAGGTTGTTCTGGAGGATGTGTCGGGCGCGGCGGCCGTTCCAGAACGTTTGGAACGCTCTGCGAGCGGTTCGTCCTGATTTTGGTCCTGGTTTAATGAAGGGAAGGGGTCTTGATCCAGATATTTGAAAGAGCGCGTTCTGTGGTCGCCTGGAAGGGGGGGGGGGGTTGGAACCTTACCCCCCCACCCCCTGGATGGAGGGAGGGAAGGGGGTTGGGACCCCCCCCCGCCGCCCCCCCCCCCCCCTCTCCCGTGACGGAGGGGGGGGGGGGTCGAACCCCTCCCCCCCCTTCCCTCCCCTGCTTCCCCTCTCCTCGGGCCGGCGCTTGCGTCGGCGGCGGCTGGCGGCGGCGGCGGGGACGACGAACGATTTCCTTTTCTGGGCTGGCGCTGGTGCCGCGTCGGCGGGGAGCGTCGACCAGGACGACGGTGGTGGTGGTGGTGGTGGGTTGTGGTGGTGGTGGTGGCGGTGGTGGTGGTTGTGGTGGTGGTGGTGTGGTGGTTGGTGGTTGTTGTGGTGGGTGGTGGGGTGGTGGTTTGGTGGTTGTGTGGTGGTGGTTTGTGGTGGTGGTGGTGGTGGTGGTGGTGGGTTGCGGTGGTGGTGGTGGTGGTTTGGTGGTGGTGTGGTGGTGGTTTGTGGTGGTGGTGGTGGTGGGTTGTGGTGGTGGCGGTGGTTTGTGGAAGTGCTGCCGATGGTGGTGGTGGCGGCGGTGGTGGTGGTGGTGTTGCGGTTTGTGGTGGTGGTGGTGGTGGTGGGTCGTTCTGCTGGTAGTGGTGGTGGTTGTGGCGGTGGTGGTGTGGTAGATTGTGGTGGTGGTGGTGGCGGTAGTGGTGGTGGTGGTGTGTTTTTGTGGTGGTCGTGGTGGTGATGGTGACTTGTGGTGGTGGTGGTGGTTGTGGTGGTTGTGGTGGTGGTGGTGGTGGTTTGGTGGTGGTGTGGTGGTGGTTTGTGGTGGTGGTGGTGGGTTGTGGTGGTGGTGGGTGAAGTGCTGCTGATGGTGGTGGTGGCGGTGGTGGTGGTGGTGTTGCGGTTTGTGGTGGTGGGTGGTGGTGGTGGGTCGGCGGTAGTGGTGGTGGTTGTGGCGGTGGTGGTGCTGGTAGTGGTGGTGGTTGTGGCGGTGGTGGTGTGGTAGATTGTGGTGTTGGTGGTGGCGGTAGTGGTGTGGTGGTGGTGTGTTTTTGTGGTGGTCGTGGTGGTGATGGTGACTTGTGGTGGTGTGGTGGTTGTGGTGGTTGTGGTGGTGTGGTGGTGGTTTGTGGTGGTGGTGGTGGTGGTGGTGGGTTGTGGTGGTGGCGGTGGTTTGTGGAGGTGGTGCTGGTGGTGGTGGCGGTGGGTGGTGGTGGTGGTGGTGGTGCGGTGGTTTGTGGTGGTGGCGGTGGGTTGTGCTGCGTGGTCGTGGCGGTGGTGGTGGTGTGGTAGATTGTGGTGGTGGTGGTCGTGGCGGTTGGTTTTTGTGGTGGTGGTGGTGGGTTTTTGTGGTGGTAGTGGTGATTGTGAGTTGTGGTGGTGGTGGTGGTCGTGGTGGTTGTGGTGGTGGCTGTGGCTGTGGTGGTCGTGGTGGTGGTGGTGGGTAGCAGCGGTAGTGGTGGTGGCGGTGGCGGTGGTGGTAGTTGTGGTAATGGTCGCTGCGTCCCCGCCATCGCCGGCGCCAGCGCCGGCGCTGCTGGCCGCCGCCAGCGCCGGCGCCGGCGCGGGGGGGGGGGGGGTTGAACCCCCCCCCTCCCCGGCGCTAAGGGGGGGGGGGGGAGTCGAACCCCTCCCCCTCCCTCGGGCTGCCTCTGGTCATCGTCGCTGCGTCCCCGCCGTCGGCGCTGCTGGCCGCCGCCAGCGCCGGCGCCAGCGCTGGCGCCAGCGCCGAGAGGGGGGGGGGAAGGTCTGAACCCCACCTCTTTCCTTGTGAGGGGGGGAATTGAACCCCCAACCCTGGCGCTAAGGGGGGAGGGGGGGGATTTGAACCTCCCCCCCCCTCCTTTGGGCTGCCTCTGGTCATCGTCGCTGCGTCCCCGCCGTCGGCGCTGCTGGCGGCCGCCAGCGCCGGCGCCAGCGCCGAGAGGGGGGGGGGAAGGTCTGAACCCCACCCCTTCCTTGTGAGGCGGGGGGATTTGAACCCCCACCCCTGGCGCTAAGGGGGGAGGGGGGGGATTTGAACCTCCCGCCCCCTCCTTTGGGCTGCCTCTGGTCATCGTCGCTGCGTCCCCGCCGTCGGCGCTGCTGGCGGCCGCCAGCGCCGGCGCCAGCGCCGGCGCCGGAGGGGGGGGTTTGAACCCCCCCCCCGCCTTGGGAGGGGGGGGGGGTTCGGGAGGGGGGGGTTGTGGGGGAGCGGAGTCCCCCTTGTTTTGGTCGACGGCGCCGAGTGTTGAGGGGAGGGGCCGCCCTTCGGTTCGAAACGCGCCGCCGAACGTTCCCAACGCAAGCGCCCGGGAACCGCGTTCTCTCAGATATTTTCTTGTTTTCTAATCCTGGCATTATTTGGTCAATTCCTGCCTCTGGGGGCAGTTTCTAGGCCCTGGGACCATGGTTGCGAGGACATCGTTCGACGCGGAGGCCCCCATATGTGCATCCGATTGTCTTTCAGTGGCAACGAGGGCCCCCTAGGAGGCCCACGTGATGCCCGAAAACAACAACAAAAAACCTGGAACACCAAGTCTCGATCCTCGACATTCCATCTTCGAGCGATGACGGCGATGGCGGTGACCGCCTCAAGTCATTGTCGAACCTCGATTTTTGTCCTTCGATTCTTGAGCCCCGACGGCGGCGACCGCCACGGCGGCGACGGCCACTCGCACGACCACGGCGACGTCGACATCGAAGACGACCAAGTGGACGACGACGGCGAGAGACGGCCTCGGCGGCGGCCTCGCGTCTGCCCAGGCGCCCGCACCGCCGGACCCCACAGCATCGGAGCTGGTGAGCCAGGCCCTCGACTCGGGGAGCGCGAGCGAGCCCAGGCTGGTTGGGCGGTGCCGAAAGCTCGCCGTCGTCGTCCGCGTCGCCGTCTTCGTCACCATCCCCGTCGTCGTTGCCGCTGTCGTCGCCGCGGTGGTTGCCGCTGTTGTCGTCGCCGTCGCCGTCGCCGCCGTCGAAGTCGCCGCCGCAGCCGACGCCGACCGCGCATGGGAGCGGGAGGCGAGCTGAAAGCTCGAGAGGGGCCGGAGGCGTTGGAGTGGCGGAGGGCCTCGAGGATCGGACGGGCCTGGAGGGTCGGAGGCTTTGGGGGGGAAGGAGGAGCGCTGTGCGGGAGGGGGCGGAGGGAGGGAAATGGCAAGGCGCGGGGGTTCGCCCAGGCTGCCCCTGGAGGTGCAGCCGGGCCGAGGTATCAGATCGAGGTCGGTTCGGGGAGGGTGCCCCCGTGTTCTTTGTGTTTTCGCTGGGTGTGCTTGTGCATCCTGGGGGAGGGTACCCTCGGATGCTCTGTGTCTGTGTGTGTGTGTGTTTTGGCCCACGGCGGGTCTCACGTTCTTGAAGGAGTCTCTTCTTGCCCGGGTCCGAGTGTACAGCACTGTGTGCCGAAAGGTCTTGGGGATCGGAGATGTTCAGGGGGATGGCTGGAGGGAGGGATGCGTCATATCTTATGATGCTCCAACCTACCTTAGCCTTGACCACCAGAAAGAACTTCGAGCACCGGAAAGAATACCGAAACTCCAGGGTTTTCACGTGTCGGGCCCTGGGAGACACTCGCCCGACACTGTTTCGACACTCGTTCGACACTCTTTCGACACTTCTCCGCGTGCTCGAAATTGTCTCTGGGAGCAACATAAAGTCATATCCCGGCGACCAGTGTTTGCCTGGCGACGGGCACGTTATCCCGACATGTTGGGGGCCCGGGGGCCTCGCGGGTCGACCTGGCTCGAAGCAGGGCTGGACCCGAGCGGTGTTTTGGCGATGTCGTGGGCCGGTTTCGTTTCTGCTTCGTGTTGCGGTAGAGGTGGATTGAAGACAGCACGAGGGAAGACGAAAGCGGCACGAAAACGAAGAACACCGTTCAGGTTCAGCCCTGACTCGAAGCACGGCGCGTGAAGATGGACCGAGGGTCACGGTCATGATGCTGCACGATGATGTACGGTAGGTTTGCGTCGTGTCGACCAGCGGCGACCCCAGCGCGGACGTTCAAGGTTGAACGCCGCCGGCGACCCAGAATCGATCGATGTTGAACGATCGGACGTTGCGGCAGCGGCCGATCGTTCAAGGTTGAACGATCCCTGCGGTGTCAAAAACCAACGCCGGGGTCGACACGACGCGAGCCTGCCGTGATTTAGAAGCGTCCAGGGCTCTGGTCGTGATGCTCACGAGGTGCAGTCCACGCGCCCAGTACGGACGCGCGCCTTCACCTCGGCGGCCCCTCGTGTCCCTTGCCTTCACGCGGCCCGTCCCTTGCAGCTTTGACTGGTCGCCCGCTGCCCCAGGAATCCGAAACCTCGGCCTCCAGGGGTCTGGCGTCCTACAAAGACGCCCCTTCCTGTACACGCTGTGGCTGCAGCTTGTTTCGCGCCGACGTCGCGTCTGCGGGAAGGATCCAGGGTCCAGGGCGTTTCTGGCCTCTTCTTCAGCCGTCGGGAGCCCTTCTCTTGGGGATCTCTGGGGACGCAGGGCGGACGCAGGGACCCAGACCTCCTCGCGCCGTCGAGTGTTCACGAGGGACGGTTATTGTACGCTCGGGAACGTTTGGAGAGCGTGTGGCTCCGCCAGCTTGCGCCCACCACGCTTCGGCGCGACACGCTGTCCATGTCCGGACCCCCAGGCGTCCGTGCCCCGAGCGTTTCCGAGCCTCCCGCCCCGCGGAGCGGAGCGACACGCCGTCCGCTCGCAAGACATCGTGTCGCCAGGGCCGCCGCAGCGCGCAGCGACACGCTACACTCAGAGGCGGCGATAGGGGCGAATAGCACAGGGGAGAGCAATACATGTATTCAGGTGCGCCGATGATCTATGTCTTCCAAAAAGCTCCCAGGCGAATGCGTGTAATGCCCGACCCGGGGCTATTCGCCCTTATCGTCGCCGCCGATTTATCCCCCGCTAAATTGAACTACCCACCGAACGTCACCCGGACCTCGGTCACGCCGAGCCAAGCCCGCGCGGAAAGGGCGTGGCACTTGTGTTCTGGCGACACGCTCGTCTCGGAATGATGCCATGGCCTGCGCGTGGGCCACATCGCTGATTGAGAATGTTTCTGTCGCCTAGGCGCCGGCGACATCCTTCATTGAGCATGTCGTTCTTGCTCGTACCGTGGGCCACATGTCTTTTTAACAATGTTGCTGTCGCCTAGTCGCCCTCGCCTTGGTGCCAGCCACGTCTCTGATTGAAAATGTTGTTGTCGCCTAGGCGCCAGCAGTCCACATCCCTTATTGAGCGTGTCGTTCTCGCCTTGGCGCCGGCCACATCTCTGATGACAAATAATGACGTCGCTTTGGCGCTGGCGACATCCTTCACTGAGCATGTAGTTCTCGTTGTGGCGCCAGCCACAGCTCTGTCTGAGACTTGCTATCTCGCCTGGGCGCCTGCCGCGCGCATGACTGCGATAGTGCTCGCCTCAGCGCGGGCCGCACTCCTGATTCGAACTGCTGCTCCCTCCTGGCGCCGGCCATAAGCATGATCGCGTATTCTGTTATCGCCTCTGCCGTTTCGTCGCCGGCCGCTTATTTCATTGGGAATGCTTTTCCCACCTTGATTATAGACTGTACTATTGCCGGGGCACCCGCCACATCTTGATTGCGAACACCGTTCTTGCCGCAGGGGAAGACGCAGCCTCACAAGCCTGTGGGCTGCGCAAGCTTCCAGATCGCGGCCCTGTCCGCTGCCAATTTTATGCCAATGTAGTTACCGTTTGGGTTCCTTCGTGTTGTGCTGATAGTTACCGTAGTGCTGTTCACACTGGTGCTGCTGGTGCCGCTAGCAGTGCTGCGCATTGTGTTGCTGCTTTTCGTCGTGCTGGTCACAGTGTTACTGCTTCCAGCGATGCGCTCCTCACGCTGGTACTCCACGTTGCGCTTGTGCTGGTGCTCGCAGTGCTACTGTTTCCCGTTGGGCTTGTCGCAGTGGTGCTGCCGATGGCACTGGTAGTACTACTCGTTGTGCTGCGGCTTCCCTCCGTGCTGGTCACACTGGTGCTGCTGGTGGCGCTGGTACTGCTGCTTCGCGCAATGCTGCTGCATCTGGCGATGCTCGTCACACTGGTACTGGTACTGGTCGTTGCGCTTGCGCTGGTGGGCGTAGCGTTGCTGTGTCCCATCCTGCTGGTCACAGTGGGAATGGTGGTGGCGTTGGTAGTGCTGCGCGGGGTGCTGCTGCTTCACGTTCTGCTGGTCACACTGGTGCTGCTGGTGGCGTTCATGCTGCGTCGTTTGGTGCTGCTGTTTCCCGTCGTTGCGATCACAGTGGTACTGCCGCTTACGCCGGTGCTGCTGGTTACCGTTATGCTGATCATGCTGGTGCCGCTGGTTGCGCTAGCGTTGGTGCGCGTGTTGTTGTTGTTGTTGTTGTTGTTGTTGTTGTTGTTGTTGTTGTTGTTGTTGTTGTTGTTGTTGTTGTTGTTGAACATTATTTATTCTAAAGAATAATTATTGTTGGGCCCCCTGGTGCGCGCCCCCCCTGCGCCGCCTAGGCCGCAGCTACATTTTCATCATTTTCGTGAGGAAGCCTCAGAAAAGAGGGTGTGTACAGGATCCGGTTGTTTTGTTGTAATCCGCTTTCCCTTGCAAAAAACAATAGAAAATGACATTTCTTGTTCTAATATAATCAAATTTCAAGAATCCCTTGCAAAAAATAAGGTAAAGTGGACATTCGCGCGCGCAAGACGAAATCCTTCCAAAAGCTTAGTGTTCGGAGCGATTTTAACATAAAAACATCAAAAAACCAATGGTTTTTCAACAAAAAAATTGTCAAAATCTCATCCCGCGCGCTCTTGCGGATTCGTAGGAAACCCAACACTTTTTAAACATTTCTGTCAAACGGGCTTTTGCGAGCAACTTTTTCGAACTTCTGCGACAACGGTTGCGCACCTGCCAGGGCCATCATCCCTGTCAAATAATACCATGCGGGACACATTCGTTTTTTCTTCGCGCGCGCACGCCGTCGTCGTCGGCCGCGGGGCCCTGAATAGTAGCCACGGTCGTCCGCATGCCACGAAGTGAAGTGTCCGAACGTCATAGGGCGGGAAGCTGGGTGTGGGTGGTGGCGAAGAGTCGTTTGGAAATTTGGTAGAGCTTGAACCGGCCCCCCCACAAAGTGGGGGTATTGCCCGCCTCCTATGAAAACCCTGGCACTGGTGAGAACGGAGTGTCCCCACGTGCTAGTAATTGTTGTTGTTGTTGTTGTTGTTGTTGTTGTTGTTGGTTGTTGTTGTTTGTTGCTGTTGCTGCTGTTGTTGTTGTTGTTGTTGTTGAACATTATTACTTCTAAAGAATAATTATTGTTGGGACCCCTGGTGCATGGCCCCCCCGCCGCGCCTAGGCCGCAGCCTCATTTTCATCATTTTCGTGAGGAAGTCTCAGGCAAAACGATGTCATCCAGATCCGGTTGTGTTGTTACGATCGGTTTTCCCTTGCAAAAAATAAGCAAAGTGGACATTTCTTGTTCTAACATAACCAAACTTCAAGAATCCCTTGCAAAAAATAAGGTAAAGTGGACATTCGCGCGCGCAAGACGAAATCCTTCCAAAACCTTAGTGTTCGTAGCGATTTTAACATAAAAACATCAAAAAACCAATGGTTTTTCCAAAAAAAAGTGTCAAAATTTCATCCCGCGCGCTCTTGCGGATTTGTAGGAAACCCAACACTTTTTAAACATTTCTGTCAAACGGGCTTTTGCGAGCAACTCATTGCTTCGAACTTCTCCAACAACGGTTGCGCACCTGCCAGGGCCATCATCCCTGTCAAATAATACCATGCGGGACACATTCGTTTTTTCTTCGCGCGCGCACGCCGTCGTCGTCGGCCGCGGGGCCCTGAATAGTAGC